CTAATGCTATTATTGGTCGTACTGAATCTTTCCTGTTAAGTATGTTTTTCTTTCTTAGTTATCAATTTTTTTAATCAAATCTTCATTTTCTTCCCTTCTTGAATTGATTTCCTGAACTAACCCTTCTTCTACTATATTAGTTCTTCCATGTTGTACTTGGTTAATTTGACCTCCACTTTCTTTTCTTTCTTTTCACCTCCTGTGAAATTTTTTCCACCTTTTTTTCTATGTTCTTTTTATACTCTGCTTATTCTTGTTTCAGATTATTATGGTCTATTTTAATCAATTTTTTTATTTTCATACATTATTTATCTGTTCATCTAATTTTCCACATACCTTCTTCATATCTTCATTCCTTTTCATTTCCATTTCTTCCATATCTTCTTGTCTCATTGTTTCCAGTCTTTCAGTTTCCTCTAGTCTAACTCTTTCCCGTCTTTCCATATCTTCTTTCCTGCTTCCTGTTTCTTTCCTGATTCTTTCTAATCTTTCCAACAATTCATTCATGTCCATAGGTGATTGTCTTGTGGACTCCTCTGTTCTGGTGTTACGTATCTGCTGCATTTCTTCTACATTTTCTCCAGTTGTCTGTTCAGGCTGTTGATTCTTCTAAGTTCTTCTTGTATCCATATTTCTATTTTTATTTTTAGTAAATTTATTGAAAATTTAGATTATTTACATTTTTCTATTCAGTTTAATGATTGAGCTGTACAATTCAGTTGTATAATGAGCCTTTTTCCTGAGAATAGTACAGCGAACGTGTCACGAGAGGCAGCACTAGTAGTAGGGACAAACATAAACTATTCACATATAAAACAGTGTTATTTACGTAATAATAATTTATTATTTGAAAATATATGTTATCCTTTACAGTTGCAAATTTTAGTTTTGCTCCAGGAACATTTTCTTCTGTTAAAAACATTCTTTTTAAATTGTACTTTATTAGGCAGTGTTTGTCCCTACCGAACACCCTACGTTGAGTGACAATTTATTATGTAATGTAAAGTGGGAATTTTTATAATTTATTGTAATTATTATAGTTTTTCATTTTGAAGACATAGAATTTTGATTCTGTTTGACTTTTATTCGTTATTATTGGTTTTATACTTGTTTATTATTTGATGAAATGATAATTTTGACTCAGCTGGACTCACAGGTTGAGTTGAAATCCCTATAACTCAATGTTTAGAGATTTTTGTCAACAGCTCAATTGGATTCAGGCTCAAATACAATTATTACTTACCCAGAATAATCTGAATAGCAGGTGTTCCTATAAATGAATTTGAGAAAGACACAACTGTATATAAGAAAATGTAGAACAGTTTGATAAAATGTGAAATTCAAATTCTGAATATAAATTACATGAAGAGAACAGTAAAGAACTTGAGAAATTTTCTATGGTTACACCGAACTGATTGAAGTGAATAACGGATTGCATTAACTGTCTGTAAAATGTCGGTTAATATCTCAGTGAGACTATACATAACTTCTAATTTTCATAACTTCTAATCTCAAAAACTATCTGCTCTACAAGTTTACTACCTACTTCAGAATTTAGATACTTGTTTCCTCAACATTCATGTGAATAGATGGTTAACCTCACTCATATCTGAATATACATTATTTTTATAAGCATCCTTTAATGTTCGTAACTAGGAAAATGGTTTACAACTATAAAATTCAAACTTTTCATCATTTCTAAATATTTACAAGTTTATGATATCTCTTTCAATTCTATTTAACAGATATCATTTTGTTTTCTCCATCCATAGTTGTTATCGAGTATTTTTATAACATTTTGATGATGTAAGTGGTATATAATTTTTTATTTTGAAATTATTTGTTGAATTTCATTGATTAAAAGTCAGAATATAATTGTAAATTTAACTTAAATTTTGTATTTCTGATTTTTTATTCAAGTTATTATCATTTTCACTTATGTGAACCATTTCTAGAAATATCCTTTTGACTTTATTATTTTCAACTGCTAAAATTTTTGATATTCATAATCCATAACATGATCTGAGGAGATAACATGTTCAGCCAGTCCACAAGAATGTTTGTTGAGTCTGCAGTCACTTTTATATGACGTGATTCTACCAGAAAGATCACGACTGGTCTCACCAATGTAAATTGGATCACTAGAAGAACATAGAATACTGTATATGATATTAGATTTTTCTTTATTGCTAAGAGGGATTTTGATTTTAGAATATAGGGATGAAATTGTTTTATAATTTTTGGTAGAAATTCCAATATTTTAGGTTGGAGTCAATAGCTGGGCTGTTACAAAGAAAACTCTTTGTTATATATCAAGCTTTCGGTATATTTCACACCTTCGTCAGGACAACTACAATAATAATATGTGAAATATAAATAATATATACATATGGAGAACTTACTAACGTGAGAATAAAATATAAAAAGGTTCAAAAATTTTTGGCTGACGAAGTCAGGCAAAAATTCTTATCAACTGTCATTATTTAATGTTTTTCTATCTGTTTTTGAACCTTTTTATATTACATTCTCACGTTAGTGAGTTCTCCATATGTATATATTTTTTAAAAGATATATAATCTTATTATTGTAGTTGTCCTGACGAAGGTGTAAAATATACCGAAAGCTTGACATATAACAAAGAGTTTTCTTTGTAACAGCCCAGCTATTGACTGCAACCTCACGAATTGAACCGATTCATAGTTAATCCAGTCACTAATTATATATACAGTGTCACACATAAAGTCCGCATCAAATGGGATTTTTTTTGTTCATCTCTTCAAGCAACTCTATCAGGTTGTGCTTTGAAAATGATGCCAAATGACATGCATATGACCGATCAAGTGATTTTTCTTCTCTGTCAAATTTGACATTTTTTCCAAAAAATGTTCAGAAAAGCAGTTATTGCTCGAAATTTCGAAATTCGGTAAAAAGAAAAGATGATTGTTTTTTCATTTTTCACCCATATACCAATTTTCAGCTCTCTAGTACAAATTTAGTTTTTTTACAGTTTTTTCGAAAATTTGACATTTGCCGATTTCTCAAATTCAGCCAAACCTCAACAAAGTTCGTGCTTAATGCCTAACTTATCTTTCCAACGCATTTTTATTACCTATTGCAATTCTAAATACAACTTATTTCGCAAAAATTTAGAACACCAGAAAAAATTATGCCAAAAATGATGCAAAGTTGATACAGTTTTTAAAAACAGATAAATATTTCACTTTATTTCTACTTTTTGCGAAATAGCTTAACGGAAGCAAGAAACTTTTTGGAAGGTTCCAAATACATGAACATTTCAACCTAGCAGAGCCCTATTATAATATTGATGCAGTCATTGTTCAGTTCACTGTGGTTCTGGCGTTGAATCTGGTCATTATTACGCCTTGGTCAAAGAAGAAACGGACTGGTTTAAATTTGACGATAGTCGTGTCACAATACCTGCACGTCTCAGTGCAGGTATTGGTATTTGAGTTACATCAGGTAATATCATGTGTATTGGATTCTCTCTATGTTCCCTGTTTCTAGGAATGTGTAATGTATTGTGTAGTATATTGAATGTTAGGTCTTGTTGAGTTTTGATTTGTATTTGTTTCTCAATAAATGAATTATTACTTTTAAATTTATGGATGTTCAAGTTTTCCCAGATGTCCATATGGTTTCCTTTATTGACTTGTTTCATAAGTTTCATGTTCTCTGGTGGGGGAAAGCCTCAATACAGGTACTTCTGTTGCTTTAGGTAAATTTACCTGTATTTGGATTACATCAGGTAATTGTGTTAAATCTTCTATAGGTTTATTGTTTCTAGGACTGTGTATTGATCTGTTTAATATATTGAATGTTAGGTCTTGTTGTGTTTTGATTTGTACTTGTTCCTCGATAAGTTATTTTTGACTGCTAAATTTATGAATGTTTAAGTTTTCCCAAATGTCCATGCGGTTTCCCTTATTGACTTGTTTTATGAGTTTCATGTTCTCTGGTGGGGGGAAGTTATGTTTGTTTTCTATGGCGTGTGTTGCGAGGTTTGATTCATATATCATCAGGTTTATGTACGCCTCTTTGTGCTCGTCGTACCTTAGGATCAGTTTTTTCTTGGTTTGGCCGATATAGAATTTGTTGCTGTCCGAGCAATGTATGCTGTACACTCCGTTAAGGTTTTTGTTCTTTTCATTTTCATAGCTGTTAATTCTTTTGTATTATTTCCGTATTTAACTTGAATATAATGTTGATATTTAGGGGTTTTGAAATGTTTTTTTTATTTTTTGGTTTGGTAACCTACGTATGTGAATGCAGTCCATCGTTGTGTTGTTTTATCTGTTGGAGAAGTTTGATCCTCATTCTGTATTTTCTATTCGATTCTATTTCCTAATTTATCTATTGCCTTTAGGGTGTATCCTTTCTCGTTCGCTATTTGGTATATGATTTTCCTTTCCTTGTTCCGGGCTTCATTGTTAAGTGGTATCCTCAACATTCTGTATATGAATGCGTTATAGGCAGCCATTTTGTGTGATAGTGAGTGGTTTGAACTTGCGGGTATGGTGGAGCTTGTTTGTGTAGGTTTCCTGTACATTGCCATTTGGAAATATATTTTGTTGTGGTTATATCCGATAGTTTTGTCCAGGTAGTTGAGTTTCAAAGTTGTTTTCTTCCTCTATGCTGAAAATCAGTTTTCAATTTATTTGGTTAATTTCTTTTGTTCCTTATTCCTTCGTTTTGTGATATGTACAGACCATCGTCAACGATGGTATGTTCATATCACAAAACCATTCCTCTTTTTCATCGTGTGGATTTATCATTGTTAAGATTTTCTCATCTATGGTTTGCAGGTTGATTTTGAATATAATGCTAGATAGTGGGGATCCCATCGCTAGCCATTCTGTTCGTTTATAAAATTTTCCTTCAGATTCGAAATAGTTTTGGTTGAGTATTGTATTTAGGGTGCATTCCATCTGGTTAATGTAGGTCCTATGTATGTTAAGGTGCTTTAGTTTATCTGATATGATTTATATACTTTCGTTGATCGGTATATTGGGGTACATGTTTTTGATGTCGAATGAGAATAGTTTAGTGTTCGTGCTGACATTTGGCGTTGATATTCTGTCTGTGAGTTCCATTGAATTTTTGACGCTGTGGTTGTTGTTTCTGTTGATTTTGTCTTTTAGTTCATCGGCTATGATTTTTGAAATTTTGTATGAAGGTGCTTTGGTGAAATTGATAACCGGTCTTATAGGTTCGTTTTCCTCATGTATTTTTATCTGTGCGTTGAGTTTTGATGCTTTTGGGTTGTTGACTGTGTATCTGTTCAATGTTTTGTTGTTGAAGATCTGTTTGTTGAATTTCATTGGGCTACTAATTTGTCTATAAAATTTTGTGGCTGTGTCGTGGTTCATCATACTTAAATCGTTTTCTGTTATGTAGTTGTTCACTCTCATACTCAATTCTTGTTTTCCGAATATAACTCCACACAGCACCAGATATTCATGAAATATTACCTCTATATCATAAAACGAACGTATATATTCCAAATATTCATAGAATATTCTTGGAATATATACATGCCTTACGAATATTCATAGAATATGCTTAGATGAATATGGTAGGATTATTCCTTGAAGAATGTGTATAGAATGTCTATGAATGGATTATTCTCTCGTGAATATTCTAAGAATATTGTCGATCGAATATACCATATGGTATATTTTCAGAATATATCCCCAGGGTATATTTCGAAATATTCTATACGGTGTAGTACTGGAATTTTGAATCATTTATCTTATAATAACGTATTCAAATAATTCAATATTATTAAAAACAAAAATATTTGAAGATTTTAATCGAATGCATAACCTACTTTATATAACCCTTATAGTATTAACTAGTTTTTGAAGTCATCGCGAAGATTCTGATTAATTGATGAATTGTAATTGAAATCATTCAATTACAAATCAATAAATCCTGGCAACAGAGAAATGCGGAAGTAAAGTATTGGAGTAAACATTTCTCATTGGTCAATTGAAGTGTAGCGCGCGATAGTCGAAGCTCTGTGAAAGCGGCTGCCCTTTAACGCTTGACAGCTTTGCTTTGAAATCGACAATTGGTTCAACATAGCGGTTAACATTGATGTTATTATCAAAGTATAATTTTCCCATGTTAAGTGTACTATTTATAGTTTGGGGTTGTCCAATTTGCAGTTCAGCGAATAGTTTGCTTTTGCATTTTCAAACGGTAGAGTTGCATATTCAGTATTTAAGATAAGTAAGTAAAAGGCAATAGTATTGATAGTAAAGTCGAGGTGATTAACCTACTATATCTCATTTTAGGCTCGAGGAGAGTTGATGTGTGGGATTTGTTGGTTTGACTAAGTACATCTTCAAACGAGAGTGATTTCAGCTGTGTAACTCCATTAGTGAAAAGTAAGTGAATGACACATTCTTTTGTAACATTTGATTTCATTATTTTTCAAGATAGGATCAATATGCCCAAAAGGAAAGAAACTGGCCAAGAAACTGAAAACGTAATGAGTGCTTTTCAACAACGGGAATGCAAGTTGCTCTCCAGGTCATAAAATGTTGTAAATATTCATGAGGGACCTATGAGAAAAATATCTACTTGATTTTTATTTCAATTTTGTTATGCCACTTTCAGATTGGGATAATGAATGTTGATTTACATTTCGTTCCAGGTATCAATAGTGAAAGACTGGCTGATGCATTTTTGGACAAAAATCAGGATAAATCTTCTAGTGAGCAAAGTTTGGATAACTTTAAGTTAACAGGATAATAGATTCGACAGGAGCACTTCCAGGGAATATTTTCCAGAACTTTCTTCAAATGTATATTCATGAAATATTCCTGGAATATATATCGCTAAGTGGGACTGAGGCGGCACTGTTGTCGGCTTTAACTGCTGTGAGGTTGTGAGATTAACTTCCTTTTTATTGATTCGATAGCTTTCGTGATTGCTGGTTTCTTCGGAGTTTTTTCTGGTTTTATGATTATTTGCTTCAGCGCGTTGATTGCTTCCGATCTGATTCCGTTACTTTTGATGTTTCTACTTAGTTCAATGGTTTGTGGCGTGATTTCCTGGCATGGGCTGAATTCTGGCCCTAGTTCGAGCGTTTGTATTTCTATATCGTTGAAGTGTACGTTTGTTAGGTTGATGAGTCTCGGATGGAATGTGTGGTGATTTCTTATCATTGTTGTCTTCTTATCGTGCTTCTGTATTGATGTGTTCAGTTTTCAGTATGTGCTTTTCTTGAATTTCTAGATATATCTGTGTATTTTTCATTCCACTTTTCAGTCGTTGGTAATTTTGTAGATGTGTTTCGAATGATATTCTGGTAAGGATATTCTTCTTCTTGTATGCTTCTTATATTTCGTTTTGGATCCGATTAATTTGGGCTTTTTCTATTGCTTTCTCGGTGCTGGTACTATTGCTCTTCATTTGTATTTTGGTGTAATTTGATTTGACCGTGGATTCAAGACATTTCTTGTTGAAGTAATTTTGGCGACTGTCTTGATGATCTGGTTGTTCAGTTTCTGGAAGTCGTTCAGTAGTAGTTGTTCACTTATCAAGGAACAAATACAAATCAAAACAAGACCTAACATTCAATATACTACACAATACATTACACATTCCTAGAAACAGTGAACCTATAGAAAATCCAACACAAAGGATATTACCTGATGTAACCCAAATATAGGCAAATTTACCTGCAGTACCTGCACTAAGACGTTCTAACCGCATAAAAGAACAAACAAGAGGATGAAACCTTCAGTTTGAGTAGAGCCAAGAAGATGATAGCACGACCAGCTGTCGAAAGCGCTCGCATATAATGAATCTGTCTGTTTAAAAAAATCTGTTTTTTCGTTAACCAGCTGTCGCACCCCTACGAACGACAACCCTCAGAAATCGAAACTTGTGCGAGCTAAGGATTGTCGAGGTCTTGCCTTTTAACGTGTGATTCCTAACACGGGTTGGACGATAGCAACTGAAGATCGATCGTTCAGACTAGGGCTTGAACCACCGACCAACACGGCAGTCAATTCGAGTGAGTGAACAAAGCACCCACGCCGAACCGCTTGGCTACTGATGAATAGAAGTTATAAAGCTTCAAATCCTCTTTGTGACATTTTTTTAATATTAAAAATATGCCCCAACTAATGCCGCGCAGAGAGTTGAAGTAAAACCACCAGGCACTTGTGCAATGTGTTCGATGTGGAAGATTCATCACAAAGTATTTCCCACTATGAAAAGCAGAAATTAATTTCGTTTGGACGATACGAAGAAGTAATCAATTGGAAAATAAGTAACTCTATACATGGATGTGTAGATCATACAAAGGAGTAAGTTTCAGAATAGCGGGAATAGCAGAATATGTTTGGACTCATTACAACATCATAACCTGCTTCAGATCCGGAAACACTATCCGTAACAGCTTCACGAAAATCACGACGTTTCGATTGTCAGTATCCGTCGTGAACTGACTTGGCTTGAAATCTCTCAACCTTTTTTTATTTTTATCTTTATTTTCATTCTGAATTTCTTCATTTTCAGTTTATTGTTCAATCGTTTTATTTTTACTTGTGTTTTATTTCACTATTATTTCATTTAAGGTTTTTTTGCTTAATATAATTGTTATTTACAGCTATTTATTTTTAATTCTTCTTTTTTAGTTGTTTCAGGAATTTCAAATCATTTAATTTATTAGACAATAGAAGTCCAAAATTCATCATGAAACATTGTCAATTACTTTCAAACAAACGAAGACATTCCTTGTGAAGATACTGAAATATAAAGCCAAAAATTTCCGTTTTTGGAGTTCATTTGGGTTTCTTGTTGAGGATGTTGCCGATAATTTCTTTCAACGAGGACAGGGAGTGTCTTTTCTCAAAAACTACACCTGACGATATAATCACAACATGTTTCGCTAGCACAGTAGCTTTCTCAAGTATATGAATACTTCAAATTGTTCTCACATTATTATGTATTATTATATTATGATTATATTATTTCAAATAAACTTTGTGGATATCAAATCGTGAGGTGTAGTTTTTTAAATGACTATGGATCTTCATCAAGTAACGGCCGAATCAGAAAAAAAAAAGAAAGTGTCTTAAAAACCCTCTTGTTTGTTTTCACCACAATTCAATTCTGAAGTTCAACGAAGAGATTGTAAACATTTCGCATTCGAATTTCTCTTCGATATATACGATAGGTGGAAAATTTGCATATGAGAACAATACTCCAAAGAAGGTCTGATCTGAGCAATATGAAGCATCAAAAGTTACTGAGGGGTGTACAGTTTTCGGCTTCGGAACAGTGTTTCAAGCTTTAGAAAAGCATCCTTTGCAATTCCAGCGACATGGTGAGTCGAAACATATTGGTCTCTATTTCAACTCTCAACAAATTTAAGAAGCGTTTTCTTGGAGAAAACCGATGCCTAGGTTTTTGTGGTATTGAATTGAATCTAGTGACTTTCCCCTCAATTGGAAATTACTTCTATATCTTTTTGGGAAACAAAGTTTTTGGCTTTCTACTATTTCATCTTGATACAAAAAATAGGGATGAGGGAATCTTCCAAAGAAAGGAAGGAAGCAATCAATTTGAAATATTGATGTGTAGATCATACAAAAAAGTAACTTTCAGACACAAACTGAAAGAAAGTCCCCCTGAAACAGCAACTTTCATATAAACACGAAAGAAAAAAATTCTTTTGAAACAAATACTTCTATATGAACACTGAATTATACAGAAGAAACTTTTCTCCACTCAGTTTGTATTTTAAACATTCGTTGTGGAATAGAAATCAGATACCATTCACATGGATAGTGTGTCACACGGATAGTATTTCCGGATTTGAAGCAGGTTCTGATGTTGTGATGAGTCCAAACATATTCCGCTATTCCCGATACATCACACACAAAACAACCGTTTCAAAAATTCTTACAATAAAAAAGTCCTTGGTGGAATGAAATGCATGGTAAGTGAGACGACTTTTTGATATTTTTCAGATCGGTTGGTAGCTTGTTGTATAGTTTAGCAATTACTATCATAGGACTATGTGGAACCAGCGTTAATATGTGACTCAGGATTTCCAAATAATTCTGACGAAACTGATAGGGTATTGAATCGTATCGTGAAATGGAGAACACCGACGGATTCTCTCTGGCATGCAAAATACTGTTCAAGATATCGAAACTTGCCACTGTCGAAAAGTTTGCATTTATAAATGAATGGTGACAAGAATATCGTTTAGGTTTTAACGATATTGTTCTCATTATTTTTTTTGTATCTAGTGCTGTTTCTCCAGCAGAGATTTGCATAGTTGAGGCATGAGTGTACGTAAGCGTAGTAATACAATTCAAGTAGCTTAAATGAAACATGCGTGCGAAGACTCCATTTGACAAATCAGCACACCGGCAGTTCACAT